ATTAATTCGTTATTAAATCATAATAAAAAAGTGAACTTAAGAATTATAATAAAGAAGAACTTTTAAAGTGTTATTTCATTGTAATATCAATATACTATTTTCAAATTTTTATGGGAGCTTTAAACATAAAAAGATTATTATTTTATCAAAATCATACAAAACATAAAATCGACATAGACAAAAAATAAAACAAAATATTAGAATCAAGATTTATCGTTGTATTGTGCGAGTATGTTTCTAGTATATCTATATGCAGACGTGTATATATACATACAAAAAATATAAAATAAAATAAAAACAAAAAAAATGTGAAAAAGACTCAAATACCCCAATATTTAACCAAGTTAACGAATTTTTTTATTATATTAATGATAGGGATTCAGGACGTGCAAACATATAAACCTCGATTCTCATCTTTGAGCGGTTGCTATGAATTTGAATGTGATTACCAGAAAATTTAAGGATATCGATTAATAAGAAACGAAGAATTGATCAGTCGAATATAACTTACATGATCTTGTTCCGTGCCCAAAGAATGCTGTAGCGGTGAAACTCCTTGCTCGGATCAAACCATAACCGATATCTCTCTTCTCGTCCACGGACCATGCTACCATTACCATATACGTTTGTCTGAAACCTCCATGGCTTCCCTCTTACATTTCCCAAAAACTCCATGTCTAGTTCATCATGAGTCGTTGGAAACATATCTACATTAGATGTCTGCACCAAAACATTTGATTTTCATCTCATCATCAAATTGAACAGAATCATGCGTCTAGATTCTGCAGCATTCGTTTCGCCAAAATTTTCCCTAATTTCCTCTAGTCGCATAATAAAATATCTAGAATGACGAAGACGCTTCAGAAAATGAACATATATGCTCTAATTAATTCAGAGGAAAAGCGAAATGTAAACAAATTCTGGCTATGGTGGTTTACGTACATAAAAAGCCACGACGATGCCGGCGGTGTACTTCCTTGGCAATTTGATTTTTGCACTGAAGAACCCAAAATTGTAATAATCCATCGATATAATACCAGAACCTGTGTTAATTTATCCAGAAAATGCAATTAATATCTTAAGATCCATCAACTTTTTAAGGACAAATGAAAAGCAACACCTCTCTCAACCGTACAGACCAGATTGACGATTGAGAAGGAGACGGACGCTCTTGTCATCTTCGAACCGATAGATATTGAAGTCGCTGAACAGAGGAGCGTAGCCTTGATTGAAGGTTATGGTGTTCAGATCAAAAGCCATCGCCAGATTTATAGGATTACTACCGCTAAAAACATGGCTAGCACATAAGATAAATAGCAGGATGCGGACAGAGGAGGACAATGTCAACGACGATGTTGTTCTTGTCTCCGATGACGGAGAAGAAAATTGTCTTCGGCGACGACGAAAACAGCTACATGAACGATCCATATTTCATCTAGGTTTTCGGATAAGCTTATATACATGCACACACGTATGGAGCTAGCACAGGATTGAAAATAGAAGGAAAGACCGATAATTTAGGGATCCTTACAAAAATAACCATTTAAAAATAATAAATTACACTTTTAACCCAATTATTAAAAAATTTCACAAATAACCTTGGGTTACTCTGTTAGCACCGTTAGTGCGTACAGGAAGCTTTCTGCAATTCTTCAAACTTACGATTTTAACAAAATAATAATAATATTAAGGGTGGGTCCCACCCTTACGCACCACGCACACATAGGTGCGTAAGGGCCCCAATTTTTTTATTTAAAATTTAATTTAGTTTTTTATTTTTTTTAAAAAAAATTCTTATTTTTTAAGAATTTAATTTTTGTTAACTTTATTTTTTTTTAAAATTTAATTTTTCTTAGAAATATAATTTTTTTGTTTACAAATTT